CATGAATTCCATGGTCCACCAAATCAACAACTTATAACAATCTTTTGGTTAGTATCTCATAGCACAAACTTCATTGAAAGCCCTCTGATTTATGTAGTTTCATAAATGATATTAAAAACCTCAGTGATTGATCTAGATGTTGCCTGAGTGACCAATTTCTCTTATCAATCTCTTGGCAAATCATAATATCTAATGTGTTAAAAGTATTGCTAATTCAATGAATGCTATAAACAGTAAGACGTCTTTATTTTTATTTATTTATTTATTTGGAGATCAAATAGCGCGAGTTTACTGGTTCAATTGACTACTCTTAACTGTAATGAATTACATCAGAGATTATGTGGTGGTAACAATAATTTGTATAAAACTGGTGTAGTTATTTAAGCATCTTGACCTGACACTCCATTTGCTTTGTGGATGTCAGAGAATTACTAATGATCGCTTCTAATGTTGCAGGTTCAGTTTCTCAACAATGTTTTTTGCACAGTGCATTGCCTAATCTATTGTGTTCGCTTCTAATTATTGCATCATGATATTTTTTAAGTGGCAATACATTAATATTTCTCTATTTGGATTTGAACACAGGAGAGAGCATTGTGAGCACCCTGGGATGTTTGGTGCTGATCTTATGGCTCTTTGTAGTGTTAATTATCAATTCAAGCTACACAGCTAGCTTGACATCAATCCTCATGGTGCAACAGCTAACGTCAAATATTAAAGGGATTGACAGCTTGATCACAAGTACCAATTCAATTGGAGTTCAAGATGGATCATTTGCATACAATTATCTGATTGAAGAGCTCAACATAGCAGAGTCTAGATCAAAACATTAAAAAAATCAGGAAGAATATGTTGATGCCCTTCACAAAGGTCCAAAAGTAGGGGGAGTAGCTGCAATTGTTGACAAGCTTCCTTACATTGAGCTCTTATTGTACAAGATCAACTGCAAATTTAGAACTGTGGGACAAGAATTTACTAAAAGGGGATGGGGATTTGTAAGTGTTTTCTTAGTTTAATCTTGAACGAGTAATTATTGTTGCGATATTTGAAATGGCTAAGCCAAACTTCGATCAGATAAGTTTTAAGTTGTCATGTTAATATCAATAGAAAACAAAACCCATGAGATGTGACCAAAATATATCATTGTTGCATAAATTTGATATTTATCTTATATCATGCTTGACTGTTGGCCAAATCTTATATGCTTCTAGGCTCTTGTATTTATGTTACTTTTTTTCTTTTTCTTTTTTTCATTTATCGAATAGTGCTTATGTCTATGATTTGATTTCCAAGAAGAAAGTAAGATTGTGGGGTTCTTGCTAATATTGTATAAATGTGTCTTGTGTGTAGTGAGATTTTCTGGACAAAGTTATTTTTAGGCTATGTTTGGATTAAGGATTTAAGTGGGAATTTTAGGACTGAAATGAAAAGGGAAATAAAAATTAACTTTTATTTTATTCACTTTTCGTAAGTATCCTTTTTGTTTTTTTTTTCCCTTCCTCTGCAAATCCTTGATCCAAATACACAGCCTCCATGTAACTTGATGCATTGGCATAAATATCCAATGTG